AGATTGTTTAGTCTCTTTCCATGCCTTTGATTACATTGTCATAACATGTGGTATCTTATTGTTAGACTACTCTTACATATTCTATATGATGTTGTTAGCACTTATTTACCTCTTACTCGTTATTTGGCCCTTATATGCCTTGGTTGAAGTCATTGCCTTCCTTATTATCTCGTTACCTCTTAATTGTTGAGTTCTTCTATGACTATGTGCATATCTGCTACATGTCCAAATTGTTGTGATTGCCTGCTTAGTTATCACGTGCCTTACATGTTTTGTCATTTTGTAATGGTTGTTGTATTCCTTGGGTTTTACGTGGTTCCATTGTTGCCGTGTACTCATACCCTTGATTGTAAAAATTCATGTAGATTTAGTTATTGAATTATTGTTGTTGATTTAAATTATTGTACGGGGGATCGGGTTGCACGCCCCAACATGTGAAATAAGGGAGGTGGTGGAACAAGGGAGGATATTTATATTGTGATATTATTATTGTACGGTGGGATCGGGTTGCACGCTGCAACAGGTGGATAAGGATGGATTATTATGGTGGAATAAGGGTGAATCATGAAATTGATATTATATGGTGGGATCGGTTGCGCGCCGCAACATATTTTATTTATTGTTATGATATTGATATTGTACGGTGGGATCGGGTTGCACGCCGCAACAGGTGGAATAAGGGTGGATTATTATGGTGGAATAAGGATGAATTATGAAATTGATATTATATGGTGGGATCGGGTTACGCGCCGCAACATATTTTGTTTATTGTTATGATATTGATGTTGTACGGTGGGATCGGGTTCACGCCGCAACAGGTGAAATAAGGGTGGATTATTATGGTGAAATAAGGGTGAATTATGAAATTGATCTTATATGGTGGGATCGGGTTGCGCGCCGCAACATATGTTGTATTTTGTATTATTGTATTGGCTTCAGTTCCTTCGTACGAGACTCTAAGATTTGTTAAATTTCTTTTTCACTATTTTTCTGAGGGTTGAGTTGTTATCATTGACTTATTGACTTGCCGTCATTTCCTGAGCTCTTTTCCTAATACTATTATTTTGGTGAATTGATTTTCAAGGTAAATTTACTACGTTGAGTCATTACCTCCTTCCCTACTGAGTTGTAATATGTGAATTACAATAAAAGAATTAATATCATGCTACCTTGTGTGACCTTTTAAGCTAGAACTCGTCGTACATTTCAGTATTTACTATTTCTAATAATTGTTATATTTTATTTCAATTGATTTCTCAACTTAATCTCCTTAACCCGTCTGAGGCTTTTTTATTTATTTACTTGAAAAGGAACTGTTATTATGTTTTAATTTAATAAATTCTATATTAAATGCAATATTTATTCGAAGTTGAATTTTATGTGAAAATATTATTTTTCTTCACTCAAATGATTTCTAAAATAAACTCATCTTTCTCGCTGATTTCCTATTTGGTTTAGAAACTGTAAATTTACTTTATGATACATAAATGGAATCTCTTGAATATCTTAATTAGCATTTGATATGGATATCATGTACCGAGTAGCACGTGAATTTTACCGTGCAAAGTGAGATAGAAAGATGTTGGCACAAGGTACCGTGTGTGTTAAAGGTATGGAGTTGTGATTTATGGTATGAGATTACGAGAATTGGGATTATTGAAATCGTGTATTAGAAACGATTTGTTTGGTTGAGTTAACATCGTTTTCCGTACTTGAGCACATTTATACTTATCCGTATCCCAACTATGTTGTTGTTTAAATACTTGGCTATTTCTTGTTGCCATTCGTGTTCTCCTTGTCGTTACTACTGTTTGTAATCTGATTCCTTTTTGGCTATTGGTATTGCTTGATATTCCTTCCTTGTTAGCGTTATGTTATATACTGCACAGGTTTATGTGTTCGGTAGGTGCCTTGACCTGGCCTCGTCACTACTCTACCGAGGTTAGGCTTGACGCTTACTGGGTACCACCGTGGTGTACTCATGCTACGCTTCTGCACATCTTTTGTGCAGAACTAGGTACTTCGGATCGAGTTGGTTTGAGATTTATGCTTGGTGAGGCTGGAGACTTCAAGGTACACCTGCTGGGCGTTTGCAGGCTCCGAAGCCACCTTCTATTGTATTTATTTTCATTGTTTTCTTTTATTCCGGACAGTGATGTATTCATTACGTATAATTACTCCTAGAAAGGCTTATGACTTGTTCTACCGGTTTTGGGATTTTAACTTTGTATAAAGATTTCCATTTCGAAATTGTTCGAAGTTAGTTAAATATTGTTGTTATTTCAGTAATTAACGTTAGGCTTACCTAGTTTTAGAGACTAGGTGTCATCACGACTCCTTCGGAGGAATTTTGGGTCGTGACACCTTTTCGTTAGAGTGATGTGTCCTGAAATGTATAGTACAATTCAAATTAAAATGCAGCATAATAAACTTCTATAATTCGGAATGGATCTCCTAATCCTCTTGATTAATTACAATGCAGCTTATAACTAAGCAAATAATTCATTCGACGGCTTTATAAAACGAGCTAACCATTTTCATGCTTACCTTGCAAAAAGTAGAAAAAATTTTTTAGGTTCAAATATTTTACTTTTGGGGTGTGTTTGGTACGAAGGAAAATATTTTTTCGGAAATGGAGTGATTTTTTACTTATTTACTCATGTTTGGTTGGTGAGTGAAAAACTTCTTTTAAAAATTATTTTCTAATATTTAATTAGTGAATAATAAATATTATATTATTTTGAAAAATATATAATTTACGCAAACATTATGCGTTAAGATGGGGTTGGGGCGAGAAGGGGTANAGACACTAGGGTAGTGACTACCGCCTAGGTGGTCAACTGACGGGTACTTGAATCCAAGGCATGCTTGACACGTTTGGGGAGTATGTTATAACCGTTGCACGACTTTACCCACTCTACACCTCTCGGTGGTTCGAGTGATTTTGCCCGAATTGGCTTTCTTAAGACCAATTGGGTATGCAAATAGGGTTCAATTCGGGTATTACTCTCTCGAGGTTTAACCCTTTAATTAGGGCTATCAATCTACTTGAGTATGCCCCAACTAATTGTTGGACCAATTTCGGAGACTTAGGTTCTCTTTCTCAAGAAGAGCTCAAGTCAACTCAACACAAACTAGTGTTTGGAACCACTAATTCAAAAATTAACCATGAAATTGGTCCAAATAACAAACACCCATAGTCAAATTAGCCCTAAAATATAAGACCCATCAATTACCCACACTAGGGTTGAGCCACAACCCTAGCTTATGGGTCTAGCTACTCATAATTAAAGAAGAAAAACAAGAAATAGATGAAGAAAAGCTCATAATAATTAATATTATATTATTTTGAAAAATATATAATTTACGCAAACATTATGCGTTAAGATGGGGTTGGGGCGAGAAGGGGTAGGGGATGGGCTGGTTGGGAGTGGGGGCAAGGTGGGTGGGGGTGGGGATTGGGGGTAGTGGGGCGGACGGGCAGTTGGGGGTGGGTGGTGGGTAAGGGTTGGGGGGGGGGGGGGAATAATGTATGGGAAAGGTTGAAAAAGAGTATTGAAAAATGTTTTCCCTCCTCTTGGTACGAAACATATTTTCCTCCAATTGGACAAAATTTGAGTTCATGAGGAAAATGTTTTCCAAACACTTAAGCTAATCAAACATGAAAAAATTAAAAAAAATATTTTCTTTCATATCAAACACACCCTAAGGTGAAAGCAATACGATTTTTATATAGAAGTGAACATTGACAAATTAAATGTGAGATCTGCTTATAATGTACATATTTAGTGTAACTATATCGCATCAGACTCATGTACTTAGAGTGAAACGTTTAAGTGCTCTACTCATGTAGAAAATCTGGAAGGAGCGCGCGTATGGTTGATCTGTCCAGGTTTACATTGTTCAATGATGAAGTAATTAGTGAAACTATGTGTCATCAAGTAAATATGGGGCTGAATTCTCTTTTAGTTTCCATCTGGTTTCCACTGTCTATTGTGGAAATAGAAATGTGGCAGCAATCGTCCATCCTCAATTCTGTAAACCTCTGCTATAAATTTACAGGATTTTCTCACTCAAATATCCCATTCACAACTCTTCTAATTACACTTCTTCTACCTCTTTTCTTAAAGGCAAAATGATCTCTATAAAAAACAATTGCACTTTTCTCTGCATGGTTTTGCTGTTGCCTACGCTTTGCTACAGCGGAAATTACGTTTCCAGAGCTGCCTATTACAGTACCCCTGATGGCATGGGAATACCAAGTATGCCCTTTCTCAATTCCAAAAGAATTGTCAATTCTATTTAAACAGTTTACCTTTATGCAATGAGTTATAGTCACATAACATATATGTGTCTCATTTTACGTCACAAGTTTAAAAGATAAATTGAAATGGATGGAGTAGTACTTAATTATGAAATTAATGTCACTTTTTTTGACAAACAGTGATTCATTAATTTGATTTTCAAAATCAACTTTTAGTGTCACATAAGAATAATGAGATGAAAATGTAACTAAATTTAAGAGGTCCCTAACATATACACTACTTCATAGGAGCATCACATCTAAATACATAATCTTAATCCCTACCACTAACACACACACACAAAAATAATCAATTAAACTTGTGCATGCACTAGCTATTTTAAACATTTAATTATTGTACATTTTGATCAGCCGGAGCGTGTGGCTATGGAGAAAATGGCAAAGATGCCAACAATGGGGAAGTTTGTGCAGCCTCCAAACGGCTTTACAAAAAATGGAGCTGCCTGTGGAGCTTGCTACCAGGTAATTAATCTAATCCTTGTTCTTCTTATTCAGTTTAACTTCTATATATTTTTTACATTATCAGGTCACTTAAAATATTAACTATAAGTAAGCATCGATTAAAAAAAGTTGGATTATTCAATAGCATTGATAACAAAGAAAACTTATATATACGTAAGGTGCAATGACAAGGGATTGTGCAGTGACGAGGGAACAAAAGTAGTGGTGATGGACAATGGAGAGAACAGATTTCATTCTCAGCTACCGCGTCTATGCTAAATTGGCTAAGCAACCTAATATGGCTCAGCACTTGTTTGCTAAAGGCGTGGTTGAAGTAGAATATCGTAGAGTTTCTTGCAAATATGGAAATCTCTTGCTTAAAATTCATGAACATAGCAAGTACCCTCACTACCTTGCTATAGTTGTTATGAACCAAGGTGGTGCCACTGACATTCTTGCTGTCGAAGTCTACGAGGTTCGTCTCATTTTATTATATTAACAAAGTCATTTTAATTAGGCTGTCAACTATTTTGGTTTTTTGAATGTCACCTGAAAGACAGGCGTATGCACGTTATTGCATGCATATGGTGTCATGTGATACCGCTTAATCGAAATTTTTTATTTAATATGCATAAGAAAAAATAAAAATATTGAGGATAAATATGAAAAATGAAATATCTTATTACTATAGTGAATTTATTTATTAGTGCACTTCTTCGAATTGTGATACCACTTATGAAATATCTTGCGTACGTCACTGGTCTCATAGACAAATAAAGGATATCATTGTGTATTGGACGAGCTTACAACCTTTCATGTTTATGTGAGCCTACCTTGGCATATATTTAATTATTATTATTATATATGTTGATGCAGGAGGAAACAAAAGAATGGATATCAATGAGGAGGGCTTATGGAGCTGTGTTCGACCTGTCGAGCCCACCAAGTGGAGAACTTAATGTGAGGCTCCTAACAAGTGCTCGTGCTGAAACCAAATGGGTGCAGTCTGACAAGGCTGTAATCCCTGCTGAATGGAAAGCCGGGGCTACTATTGAGACTGATATTTAGCTCTCGTAGACATGAAAATAATAAAAATATAAGTATTATAGCATATTATAAGTGGTATTTTGGTCCCGAAGGGACGGCCCAGTGGGTTTGGAGGGAGTTTTCCACACTGGAGACGCGATGCGGGTTCGATCCCCCCTCAATGCCTTCTGGGTCTGAGCCTGTCACACGGGGCTTGCCTAATGCGGTTTACATCCCTTGTGTGGTTTGCAGGCTATTACACAGTGGGGGGTTTACCCAGTGCGCACAGAGTGCTCACCACAGAGTGCTCACCCGAAAGGCAGAGGCTGTGGCAGAGGCTGTAGCGGCTGCGGGTTTTCCTGGGGTTCCAAAAAAAAAATAAGTGGTATTTTGTGCTGTCTCAGCTATCGGTTGACAGATAAATTTATATATAGATTAGTTGCGTATTAGGGATCACCCTCCGTGCAGAAGGTGCTTTAATTAAATAACGTACCTTGAGTTATCATGGCTTAAGTTATTGTACTTGGTTAGTGAATATATATCAATAAATCTCTTTACTATTGTATCTTGTTGAGTTATCATGGATTAAGTTCTTGTACTTGGTTCTCTAATAGAACTAAACATAATTATGTAAAATGTTACCTTAAAATTTATGTTTGCTAATTGCTAGTTTTCCAAAAGTATGAAAAGTTATAAGACTTTGGGTGTGTTTGGTACAACTGAAATGTTTTCCGTGAAAAATATTTTCTTGGAAAACAAGTAATAATCTTATTTATTTTTCGGTGTTTGGTTCGCAAATTAAGGAAAATGACTTCTCAAGAGTATTCATAAATAATTTAAATATAATAAACATGAAGCCATAAACTTTCAAACCAACAACCTTCCGAATCCACAAATTTCATAAAATTTCGAAACCGCGGAATTTCGACATAACTTTGGTACTTGTAAAATTTTGAATCTTTAAACCGATAAAAAAAAACTAAAACTGAAAAATATATTTAAAAAATATTTTTTTACGCTGGGGGGGGGGGGGGTTGCAGAAAAAATAAAAAAAATAAGGTAAAAAGAATTCTTTTTTTTTTTAGGAGGAAGGGGTGGAGGGGTAGTAGGATGGGTGGTAACAGAAAAACTGAAATTTAAGAAAAAAGCTTTTTTTGGAGAGAGGGGGGTGGGTTGGTGAGGGTGGAGAATGTTGAGAAGGAGTTTTGGAAAATATTTTCCCTTCTCTTAATAAGGAAAACATTTTCCAAAACATTTAAGCCAACCAAACATGGAAAAATTGGAAAACATTAAACACACCCTTTATATCATCCATTTTAGTGTGGTTAGACTTTGCAACAGCTTCTTTCCACTACTGAAGTTAGGGAAGTCATTTTCCAAGTATTAATAGAAAACTTTTTCCTTGGAAAATATTTTCTGGTACCAGACATCAAAATTTGACTTTCTCCCCAAAAACATTTCTCCTCGAATATGACCTTTTTCATACCAAATACACTACGTTTGCCATTTTATAGGGAAAGAAGAAGTAGATACCGAAACTATGCAGCATGATTCATGGGTGGAGAAAGGAAAGCAACATTCGTGCAAATGCAGCTAAAAGCAAAACGTAAGGGACAACTATATTGCAGAGAAACATCTTAAATCAAATATGAGGAATTATTCACCTCAACTTGAAATAAAGCTATACAAACCCCTAGTACATCCGACCGCTACACTCTGAAGATCCACAATAGCATTTCTTCACCTTGATATTGCCATTGGAATCACGTACCTGATCCACGGAATAATTATAATGGTAACTGAGCTCCGCCAAAGGAGGAATGTTATCTGCTGCAAAGAACATGATATGAGGCATTTTCTTATCTTCGTGATCATAAAGAACGTTTTGTGCATACAAGTTAGGTGAACAACTGTGATTGATAAATCGCCCGACATTTCCACACTGAGCTGCATCAATTGTATAACCACCCTCTTCTACTACCTCACTTAATTCTGCTTGTGCGGAAGAGTTCACAGAACAATCACTATAGTTCTGTCCAATATCAAAAAGGTATTCGTCACTACCAATTCTTCGTTCAGCTTCCTTGTCTTCAAGAAGCTCTCCTGCATACTCACAGATAAAGGTTCCTGAAGGAATAGATGTTAAAGCTCTCACACCCCATCCCCTTGAATTTGTCTTAAAGATCTCAAGTGGAATTTTAATACCGTGTTGGCCGACTCTATTGTAGCAAGAGGGGGGACATTTACAAGAAGGACCACATTCATAGACAAGAGGCTTCACTTCAACAATAGCTCCATTACGATTGTACGGGATCTCGCCTCCATTTTTAACTGCACATGAGCACCTCTTGGAATCAGAACATCTACCGATACAATCACAACCTTTAGGAGGAGACGGCTGGAACCAGTCAGGATATATCATCTTCTTGATGTAAGTGAATGGTGGAGGTTTCTCACCATCAATTGTGTTCACAGCACTTATCGGGAGTGTATCCTTTCCTTCTGTAATGTCATGGACACAAACACCATGCCGCACTTTGGACTTTTTTGATGACTTCACTTCTTTCCAAGCAAGCTCTGGTTGTCCAGGAACTCTCACCAACTTAAACATAAAAACCATCTTACCCTTTGGCCCTTGTTCTGTCCAAAAATTATCAACCTTGTACAACCCATCATAAACATATGTTGTCACTACCTTAACTTTACCATCCACGGATTCAGAGGTTTTCGTCTCCTTGGATCCACGAATCACCCGAACAGGATTCTGAACTGATATACTATTCTTCAAAGCTAAATTACCTCTTTCAAGCTTCTGATCTTCAGGAGTTTTGACCTTACCTACCACATTTCCGCCTTGCCCAGAATAAATCAATACATCAGCATCTTCCACAGCATCATCATAGACCCCTGAAGAAACAATACTAATCGCGATCAGCATACCTCCCTGCTTCATGTAATCTATACCAGCCTGATATAGGCGATGAACCCCCACAATAGCAAGTTCCACCCTGTATTGGAACTCATCTCCGACTTCAACTCCAGGAACTTCTCCCAGTATGTGCAGACCTGTGTTAACTTCTTTTCCTTTTGCCTTGATGATTTTTGCTGCTTGAAGATCAATTCTGTTTGACCCCTGCCTCGGTTTTGCTTCTTCAGGTCTTGACTTTGACTCTTCTTCTTGCAAGAGCTTTCTACATATAGCCTGAAACATACGAAGAGTCTCTCTAACTTTAGTACGGGCATCACCATGACTAGAACTGTTTGGACCAAAAGGTGGTAGGGTCACGTCAAATTCACGCCGTCCTTGTCCAACGGGAGAATCTTCATGTAGTGCTTCCCTATTCAAATTGCAAGCTCCGTCTTTGCTGACAGCCTGTAAAGCAGATCCTTCGTCATCGAACACAACTAGCGCCCTTGAAAGTCCATCGGTAGCTTTGCCACCAGAAGCTGATTTCTTCTTACCCCTAGGATTACTTTTTCTGGCGACAGCTTTAGCCTTCTTGCGCCAAGACAGAGGAGACTTCTCATCTTGGTTTCCACTCACCGCACAATCTACACTAGTTTGCTTTCCCTGCCTCCATGGACAGTGCGGCTCGGCCATCAGACCTTGCACAATTGGCTTAACTATTTCATGCCCAGAACCACAAGCACCGACTGCAGTCTTTGTCAGATTGTCTTTGACCTGTGAGACAACAATTTCATTTCCACTCACAGGGCCATCTAAACTCTTTTTTTTTCCTTGCTCCCGTGCACAATACGTCTCAGCACCCTGCGTAATCGGCCCAACCATTTCATTTCCAGTACCAAGAGCACTACTTGCAGTAGTAGTCTTTTTACTTTCATCCTCTGAATATACAACAATCTCCTTTCCCACAACTCCTACATCATTCTCCTTTTTCGTCATTGTCTCGGGCATAACCACAGTTCTTTCCATCTGACTTCTTCCATCAAAATCATTTTGGATACCTCCCTGTTCTTCGCTGTGAACCATTGTTATTTGCTCCAACACCCTATCTTTGGGACTAGCAATGTCCCTCTCTCTCAGAGAATCAGCCTCCTCACTTTCAACCAACCTCTCTTGCAATGCCCCACTGTCCTTAACATCTCTCAGTGTCTCAATCACTTCATTCTTTGTAACTTCCTTATTGAGCCCAACCACATCCTTGCTTTCTTCAGTAACACCATAGCAATTCTGTTCAGTTGGCTTAGGAGCATTTGTTCCACAAAATGGAGGGAAGTCACGAACAGCAGATACTCTTCTTTTGCGGTACTTATTCTTTGGCGGGGAAGAGGCATTTTCCATAACACTAATTAGCTGCTGAGGTGGCAACAACATTTTGACTTGACTATCAGGACTTGGTTCATCAGTCGCACCGCCAATTTCCCGCACAGATGTCTTGTGTCCACCACCAACATTTTCGACCGAAGGTAAACTTCTCTCTTCATCAACTCCCTTCACTAAAGTGTCGCTCTGGATGTCTTCCGTTTCCTTGGAAAGCTCCATTTCACTAATTTCAAGATCTTTAGGCAACTCATATCCAAGCGATTTATCGTGACTTATTTTTTTTCCCAACTCATTTGCTATTGCACTCATGTTTGTCGATACCACTTCCCCTATTAACCTATCCAACTTTTCATGCTCTTCCATGTTAACTAGACAGTCCACAGCTTCAGCCGACCGTGATTCGATCTCACTGTTAGAATCTTTAACAACATCAACCAACACAATGTTAGCCACATCTTCATTAGTGGACACAACAGCATTTTGTTCATGATTCACATCAGCTTTTGGAGAAATTTTACCACATCCTGGAGGAAAATCTCGTACTGCTGAGACTTTCCGAACTTTATATTTTGGTATAATGCCCAAATACGAGGAGTGGTAACCATTTTCTGTCAGCCGCTTCTTCACGCTCTCATTGGATAACCCATCATTTGACACTGACGCCATCCTTGACCAACTAAAGAGAAATCCCTTTTTTTTATAAGGTAAGATAAACGAAGGAGAAATCAACTGGATGCTAAGAATCCTGAAACAGAAAAGAAGACATTTGCTTTAGTAGAGATGAATCATGAATGAGGTGAAGCACTTTCAACTCTATCTATTTCCTCTTTGGTCCAAAAGCTATCTTTTTGTATAACAGAAAATATTTTCCACAAGAAGTCATTTTCTAGTGTTTGCAACAGCAACAGTTAGGCCTCAAAGTCAAGCAAGCCGGGGTCGACTATCTGAATCCTCACTATAATATTACAAAAAATTAGTCCCTAACACTAGAGGTATCTGCATTTACTACTGTCGCACAGAGTTGTTAAAGGCGCGCTTAAGCCCTGAAGCGAAGCTCAAAAACACATTGAGCGCTTCGCCTCGCTTTGTGGGCGCTTTAGTGTCGCATCAAAGCCCTAAGGCATACTTTTCCTTGCCAATGAGTGTAATCCTGAAAAAGCGACCTTAAACAATTGAAATTTCACTTTATCGTTAATTTTTTTTAATTTCTTTGTCCATATATTTATTATTCATGCTTATAATGATTAGTCTTGGACTACATGCATATTTTTACTTTTTCTCCCGTTGTGCCTTTTTTCATTAACGCCCAGGCTTTATTTGCGCTTTCCGCTTAAAGCCCCAACGGACCTTAGAGCTTTTTCGCGCTTTTCGCATTTGATAACACTGTTGTCGCATAAATCACCAACAAGACTAAAACTTAATCTTAGCTAGTTGGTATCACCGATAGAGTTCTTTTTCTTCCACTTCCACTGTGCTATATTTTTTGCTTAATTTGCATGGAATCAAGAGATAGGTCTTGGTCTTGCAAGAATAACTTTCTTCAATGTGATTTGAGATCTAACTCTTCTTCTTTCCGTCCTTTAATTCCTTGCAAATATTGGACATAAAAGAAACATCCTAACATGACTAAAACTTAATCTCAACACCTATACAGTTCTTTTTTCCTATTATACCATAGTTTTTGCTTTGCATGGAATCCAGGGTTTACAGGTCTTGCAAGACAACTTCCTTCGATGTGATTTTAGGCCTACCTCATTTTCTTCAATCTTTTATTCGCCATGGTTGTATACTTATGAACAGGTGCATCGGCAGGTCGATGTAAGACATGTCCAAATCATTTCAAGTCCTCTTTCATTTTATCCTCTTTTTGTGCTAGTTGCACCTTCTGCTGAATTTGATAATTTTTAATCTTATATGACTGATCCATCTTAGCGTCTGCATTTCTGCAACATTTATCTTGTGGATATGTTGGACTTTGGAGGCCTAACATTCACTCCCATACAATGTGGCTGGTCTACAACCATTCATTGTGGTATTTGGTCATTGGGAATTCTTTTGCAATGAAAATATTTCCTCTCAAAAAGGGGAAAATGACTTCCTTCACATATATACAAAAAATTATTTTCCTTTACAATTATCCAAACTCTTACTTCATATCACTTGCTCCAACCAACATTTAGACATTATTTTTTGATACTGAAAATATCATGAATACTATCCATTTTATTGGTATTATTATCAGTCTTAGGTGAATATTTTTCACTGACCAACCAAATACAACAACAACAAACTCAGTGTAATCCCACAAGTGGAGTCTAGGAGGATAGTGTGTACGCAGACCTTACCCCTACTTTCAAGAAGGCAGAGAGGTTGTTTCTAGTAGACCATCGGCTTAGGAAAGGCAAAAGGAAGCGCAACAACAAGCGCGCCAATCAGAAAACCGAAGCAAAAATACAAAACTAACACTAGGTACTGCATCAGAAAGCCGAAACAAGCAACAATAAGTAATAACAAAAAACAAGGAATACAAAAATACACAAATAACACTAAGTCATGTACTAAAGCTACTGTTACAGACAAGGACAACGTTCAGCTACCTATCCTAACCTTTTACCTTTATTCTCAACCTCCACACCTTCCTATCCATGGTCATGTCCTCTGTGAGTTGGACTAACGTCATATATTGCCTAATCACCTCTCCCCAATACTTCTTCGGCCTACCTCTACCTCTCCTTAGGCCCTCCAGGGCCAACCTCTCACACCTCCTCACAGGTGCATATGTGTCTCTCATCTTCACATGCCCAAACCATCCAAGTCTCGCCTTCCGCATCTTGTCCTTCACAGGGACTACGCCCACCTTGTCCCAAATAACTTCATTTCTAATTCTATCTAAACTGGTATGCCCGCACATCCATCTCAACATCTTCATTTCAGTCACCTTCATCTTTTGGACATGTGAGTCCTTGACTAGCCAACATTCCGCCCCATACAACATAGTCGGTCTGAATACTGCTCTATAGAACTTACCTTCCGCCCCATCACACAAAATACCGGAAGTGAGCCTCTATTTCATCCACCCCACCCCAATACGATGTGTAACCAAATACTGAAAAATAAGTGAGAAAACCACTTATTTCATTGAAAACATTTTTCAAAAAATAACATTTTCTTCATAGCGAACGCATTTGTTACAAACAAAAAAATTTATCACAAGCTTAGGCAGTAAGAACTTGGGAGTTTAAACTCCACTACAAGACTAAAAAAGAACAACGAATAGGGAGCAGTAAATTCATATCCAGTTACAAGGGTAAAAAGGGAAATGAAAGCAAATCATTCTCTCAAATGAAAATAAAGCTACAGTTAGTACAGAGTAAAATTGCACATAAGGTTTTGCATGCTTGAGACAAAGCGATAATAAGGAAAAAAAAACGTACCAATTTTAAGGATGAACTTCAAGCTTGCTCTTCAGATGATAGAAAATAACTCAACATGCTAATAGTTCTGACAAAAAAAACAGAGAAAAATGATTATTAATCTCAAGTTGAAAAAATACAAATTTACATAAACAACTCGATTCCATAATTGAATAAAAAAAAAGGAGAAGAAGGAAGCTTACAGTAAGGAGTTTCTGGATCCAGAAATGAATTCAAATTTGAAGGGCGTCTAATTAACAATGGATCTAAAAGTGGGTTTGTGAGATTTGCATGGTAAGAGCAAGAAATTAGGGATTGATTGAAGCGAATGGTATCTGCTTACTTGGTCTCTGTAACCGTTTGCTTTGTTTTCCTAAAATTGTCTGGGAGAAAGACGGTGAAATCGAGAAAAGTTAGGGGTAACTTGACATTTGCAATTAGTGCTGTATTGTGGGCCGGTCTGGGACCGGGATCGGACCGGGCCCGCGGTCTTAACGGGTTAAACGGTCCCGACGCGCCGGTCCTGATGGGCCGGTCCCTGATGGTGTAGAAAGCCCGTGGCGGGCTGGTCCCTTGCATGAGGCCCACGAGACCGGGACCGCTAAGCTCGGGACCGGCAGGCGGTCCTGGGCCGGTTCAACCGGGCCTAACGGTCCTAACGGGCTCCAACGGCTCTTTTCTAAAAAAAAAATTTTAAAAAGACCAACGGTCAGATTTTAAAATCTAGCCGTTGGCCTTTAATTTTCAACCGTTTGGAACTTTAAAAAATAGCCATTTGGCGCCAAACTTTATTTTAACCCCAAACTTTATATAATTACACTTTTTTCCAATTCTCAACTATAAATACCCCCTCATTCTTTCATTTTTACTCACCAATTCATCAATCTATCTCAATCTCTCTCAATCTATATCTAATTTCTCTTCTATAATTGCTTATTTTATTATTGCAATTTCGTGAAAAATTGTGAAGTTGGTGAATTGAAGTATTCAAGTCTTCAAGTCTTCAACGATTTTCAATTTTCAAGAAGTTGTTCGGCAATTCGGTGAACTCGTTCCAACTCTTAAGTTTTAAGAATATATTTTTGTGTGTTTAGTTTGCATAATTGTAATTAATATGGCATTTTCTTTGAAAAAAATGTTTGGTGGTAAGGGAAAAGCTAAAATTGGTGAAAGTAGTCTCCAACCTACTACCCTTCCCCCGGCTCCCCGACCCAGACCTATTACCCGTCCTGCTGCTCCTATTATTCTTGATAGTGATAACCCTTGTTTTCAATTTTTCGATAGTGAATTTTGCCATAATGTTGCATCAGGTGAACAATTAAATGAAGAAGTTATGAATGCTCTTTATCCTAATCAAACTATCTTAGAAAATGATGAGGAAAATGAGGATGTAGATGAAACCCAACCGGATTTAGATGATTCACCTACTAGTCCTGTTAATAACCCAACCGATGCCCCGCCCAACCCACCTGTAGAAACCCCTACTTTTAATAGACAACCTTCTAAGCGCCTAGAAACATCATTAGTTTGGAATTGTTTTACTCAAGTAAGAGAACAAAATAAGGCTAGGTGTAAAACTTGTGGGAAATTGCTGGCGCATAAATATACTGGAGACCGTAGCGGTACGGGTAGTTTGGCTAGGCACATACAAACACACCCTAGAGATAAAGTTAAATATTTACAAATGAAAGCGCAGCAAGAGGGGACAAGTGTAGATACTGCGGTTAACCCTAATACAGGTTCAAATCTAGTTCAACCAGGAATTAACACTGTGACCAGTGGTATTTTATGTTACGATCCTAATAAAGATCGTGAAGAATTAGCAAAGATGGTTACCGTTATGTGCTTACCATATACTTTTCCTTCTAACCCTAATTTTGTGCATTATATTAGAAAAGTTTTTAATCCTACTTATAAAGGTTGGCCTCGCGCAACAGTTAAGAGCGATATTTATAAATATAAACATGAATATGAACAATATTTGCGGTATTTATTTACTCATATAACTAATCGGATTTCTATTACTACTGATATTGGTAGAAGTAATAATGACTGTGATTATCTAACTGTTACAAGTCATTGGATAGACGAGGAGTGGATAATGCAAAAACGCATTATTGCGTATAGAATAATTAATTCACGTCACACAGGTAAGTTTATTGCTAACACTGTTGCAGATATTTGTAGATATTTTTGCATTAGAGATAAAATAATGGCAATTTCTATGGATAATGCTTCTAGTAACACTAGTGCTATAGGCATACTTACAACAACACTAAATCCTGCATTTAGTAATTGTTTCCATGTGAGATGTATTTGTCACATTTACCATTTAATCGTCGGTGATGGTATGAGAATTTTAAATTTAGAAATTGAAAAGGTTAGAATGGCTCTTAATTGACTCTTTTATTCAAACCGTAGAAGTAGACTTAGAGAGTATTTTAAAAAATGTGATGAATTTGGCCTTAGAGAAAGAAAGGTTCCTAAACCTTGTCCAACTAGATGGAATTATATGTACGAAAGTTTAGTAGTTGCATATGAATATAGAAACCCAATTAATGCAACGTTCAATGCTCGTGTTGGTGGTGAGGATGATGATGAAATCCTTACAAATCAAGATTGGACGAATGTAAAAATTCTTATAGATTTTTTAGAACATTTTCAAATTGCTACAAATGCATTTTCTGGACAATATTATCCCACTATTTCAAATTGTTTAGTTTATATTGCAGCACTATGTGATTTGTTTGTTGAATTTTCGGAGGGTGGGGAAATTTATAAACTTGCTATAAATGCAATGAAAGAAAAGTTTAAAAAATATTTTTTCCTTATCCCCCTATTTATGGTGTTGCTGCAATGTTAAATCCTACAATGAAATTAGGAGGTCCTCACTTTTGGTACTCAAATATTTATAATGGTGGTATTAGTACCTTGTTGTGCTAATTCCATTGGGGGAAGAAGACTAAGAAAGATATGCCATTTTTGGTAATAAAAATTATAAGACATGCCCTTGAATATCTCTTTGCAATATTTTTTTGTCTTTAACTTGCAATTATTTATAAGCTATAATATATATACATAACATACAATATATACTACAAGAAAATATATAAGGGAATATATATACATAGCATACAATATATACTACAAGAAAATATATAAGGGAATATATATACATAACATACAATATATACTACAAGAAAATATATAAGGGAATATATATACATAACATACAATATATACTACAACAAAATATATAAGGGTATAATATATATACATAACATACAATATATACTACAAGAAAATATATAAGGGAATATATATACATAACATACAATATATAGTATACTATACTAGTATACTATACTAGTATACTATATATATTATATTTACATGAAGAAGTAGTACTATATATACTACAAAATAAGATTTTTCAAAATGAGGGCCCCACCCCCAATGACCACCAATGGTCATATTAATTGCACAAATAGCCGATTTTTTTTTCAATTTACAAAACTAACCTTCTCTAACACTATAAGTACCCCCCTCCCTCTTCTTCATTTCAATACTCAATACTCATTTCTCAATCTAAATTTCTCTCAATCTCTCAATCTCCAATTTTCAAGACTTCAAGTCTCAATCTCAATTTTCAAGTTAAATCATGCCTCGTTCGGAAAGAGTGCGCTTATTTGTTTCGCAAATTTTTATGAAGTGCTTGAAGAAAATGAAGAAGGCCAAATATTAAAGTGCAAGAACTGTGGAAGAGTCTTAAATTTTCGTTCAGGGTGTACCACAGGCATTTTAAGGAGGCATATAAAGTATTGTGTTGAGGGTATTTATCCGCAAATTCGTCTTTAAGATTTTTCAACAATTTGTGTTATTTTAAAATTATTAGACGTATTTATGCTTCATGTTGTACTTTGTTATTAATTTATTATGCATGCCAATTTAGTTTTACTATTGATTTGTTATTTTACATTTTCGTCAAACACTTTAATAATTAGATTTCTATATTATATATACTACATATATTTATATAGCCATGCATAAGAGCAATTTATATATATACATACACATATGGTTTACAAGAAATTGCCTTAAATAAAAAAAATTAAAAAAAAAGCCCAGAAATTAAGAAAAGCCCGTTAGGCCCGCTAAGCCCGCGAGCCCGACCCATTTAGCCCAGGACCATATGGGCTTAGGCCCGTCACGGGCTAGTCCTACCCGTTGAGCCCACGAAGCCCGGGACCGCTAAGCCCAGGCCCGTTTAGCCCGGCCCGTTTAGCCCATTTAGGCCTGGGCCCGGCCCACCATACAGCCTTATTTGCAATTGAGCCCTCCGGCTTTTGTTGTAATTCACTTATTTCCAAAAGAGCCGATTAAGAGCCCGTTTGGATTGGGTTAAAAAAAGTAGCTTTTAAGCACAAGTGCTAAAAGCACTTTTTAAGTGCTGGAGCTGGTTTTATAAATAAGCAGTTATGCGTTTGGATAAAAGTATTGGAGCTGAAAAAAGCTGTTGAAATGTTTGGTAAACAAGTGCTGGTAAGCACTTTTTTTATTAAAATGACTGAAATATCCTTAAAGCTGTTAACACTATAAAGAACCTTATTACTATAATATTTTATTTCAAACTTACTAATATAAATACGAAATAATTAATATTAGAACTGATCACCTAAGATAATTTTTATAATATAATTGTTGAACTCTTATTTTTCACTTCTTTCAACCATGTTAATTATTTATTTATTTCTTGAAATTCCAAGCTTACTGGAAAAACATATGAAATGACTATCACATTTTATTATTCTATTCCTTATTTGAACTATGTAAAAATTCCTAATATTTAGGAAATCAAAATAAAATAAACTTGTACTTTTTAAAGTTATTTGAAAATTGTACGTATAGTTAATAAGAAATTACAATGATGTCGTATTCATCTTTCAAAGCAAAGCTAAACTTCAAAGTAAGTTCACGTTCTAACAAATACTGATGAATTCTCTAAGGATTTAAGTAGAATATACTGACCACATAGGTTCAATGGACAATATAATGGATGTTGGAAAACTAGAATGCATGACTTAATCATGGCTGAAGATTCTGAGCTATGGGATGTCATATGTGATGGACCATTTGTTCCTACCAAAAACCTTGGCAACCCACCAGTAGCCATTCCCAAGACAAGAAAAGAATTCAACGATGCAGGTAGAAAGGCCATAGAGAAGAACTTTCGTGCTAAGAAAATTCTGGTGTGCGGTATTGGACCGGATGAATACAACAGGAAATCAACATGTCAGTCAGCCAAAGAAATCTGGGAAGCCCTGCAGACAGCTCATGAAGGAACAACACAGGTCAAGCAATCCAAAATCGACATGCTCACAACTAAATATGAGCTCTTCAGGATG